TTTTTTTTTTTAAAAGTAATACCAAGTTAGGGCCCCCTTTCTTTTTTTAATTTTTATTTATTTTTTTTTTTTTTTTCCACCACCAACAATTTCAAGAAAAATTTTCCCTCTTAATTTTTCAGATGGGGTTTTTTAGACAACTAGTCAATGGCCAAAGGGGCCAAATTATCAAATATTTCACTATAAAAGCAAAGCTTAGAAAAAGACCAACTCAAATTTTGTGAAGCAGCTCCACCTCAACCAGCTAGAACAGTACTATGCTACTACTACTACTATGCTACACTGATGCATCGATCTAATAATTCAATACAGGCTTATATTAACATCAGTCTCTGTGATCTTTTTACTTTTGATTTAACTTTGAGTTCATTTTGCTGATAATGATAGTTATTTTACTGAAGTACCATTTTGAATGCCCTTTACTTGTGATGGAGTATTTTCACAATATTGTATTGATTCTTCTTTTACTTAATTAAGGTTCTGAACCTTTCTTCCCCCACTGGGAACAACTCTAATCCCGGTCCTTTGTAATCATTGCTACAGGTTGCACATAACCTCGTTCCTGTTGCATCGACCTGTGTGCTGCTCCTGCAGCAGAGTAACATACTTTTCCTGTCACAACAGGTAAACTAATGAGAAAATTAGATGATCAATCTCATTTTCCCTCCTACACCCACTCAGTTTCTTAATTCATCAGAGCCTGGGTAGAGCATGCTGGACGTTATTATGAGATCCCCAAGCATCAATTACTAGAGCATGTTACCATTTTGTCAAAACTTTAGTAAAAACAAGGGGATAATGAGTGCAGTTCTCATTAATGTCAAGGCCTTTGTCTAACTTTAGCTGTAAATCACTTTTTGTTTTTAATTAATGTCATCAGAACTGCTGCACGACAAGCATCAACTACACGTGACCAAGAACTGCGAATAACAAAGAAAGCCATTTCAGTTAATCTGATGACAATGGTCGGGAACAACAGCTGTTGAACCCATGCAATTACTGTATGTGAGCGAGAGAGCTTGTCTGTTTGTCTGTTTGCATGAAAATAAAGAACTTGCCCATTTTTATTCAAAGAATGCCTCCCACATTGTATTCTCCTCGCTTTCTCTTCACGGTTGAAACAGTAGAGGCAAACAGTGGCCGGCTGGATGGCTTTTATTCCTCTCAAATTTCTTATGAGAACTCTGCCTATCCCATCTTAATGTTAAAATGTCAGTGAGTAAACACGGAGACAATTGGACGCTTGCAGAATAATTATGAGCAATAATAAAATCTTTTTTTTATTCTCGAAATGTTAAGTGAAGATGTCTTTGTATTTTTTATTGGTTCCATTCCTACGAAGAGGTCCAAATTAATAAAACATGACATTACCCATCAGCGTTAAGTGAACACAGCTTTATCCTGTCTCTAAAGGCCTCAGTGGTTAAGCCAGTTCACAAACAGTAAAGACATCAGAATTCAGGGCCTCGCTTCTTGCCAATCAGTAAAAAGCAGTCACTGTCCTTTGCGATTGTCTCAATAAAAGTCATTGCGTTGTTTTTACTGAGCAGCAATTATTCTTTATAAAGTTATTAGTAAGGATAACTTACGAGTGCTTTTTAACTCAAGCCCCGGTTTTGCCCAAGAACTATTGGATGTGGGATGGCGATTATATGTCTGTGGGAAATAGAAAGTAAAGATGGCTCTGTCTGAACAGTAGTACAAAGTCCAGAGCTGTTAATGCACCACTGACAGGAAGTGTGTTAAGAATTAAAGTGGAACTGACCACAACAGCTAAATAGCAGAGTTCATAAAAGTAACTCTGCAAAGTTTATGTGTGACTTATGTGAGTAACCACTCTAAAAATTACTTGAGTTAAAAGAATTGACATTTTTGGATAATATAATTGTTCCCTTTCTTGATGAGAATTCGATGAGAAGGTTCATACCAATCTCATGTCTGTAGTGTAAATATTATGCTTAGCATAAAGACTGGAAACAGCTAGCCTGGCTCTTTCAAACGTTAAAATATCTGCCTTTCAGCACCTCTAAAGTTCACTCATTAATTATTGACTGGAAAGTCATATATTGACAGCTTTGGACAGTATGCTGTCTCCCCGTTTCCAGTTTTTAAGTTAACCTAAGCTAACCATCTGCTGGTTGTAGCTAGTAACTTCATATTTACAATGAAGACATGAAAGTGGTGCCAGTTTTTTCATTTATTTCAAAGGAATATGCAGCTTAGTTAGCCAGGATTTTGTGATTTTGTAAGTACCTTTTCTTCATGTTGCATAAGGGAAACAGCAGTGATCCAATAACTGAGCCTTGTGGCACTTCATGCATACTAATCAGTGAAGCAAAAATTAAGTGGACGTGTGTGTTGTGTTAAGAATCTTATGACAAAAAAAAACCAGTTTGTTTTGCATTTATCAAGAAGAGTGCCATGATCAGTAAAGTAGTTTCACCACTGTCATAAAGACAGCAGCCTGACTGACATTTTTTAAAAATCATTTGACGTAAAAGGTGCCTTTGAAAATAGTATTTGATTATCAAGCACTTGAGGATGAAAGAGCCTTCAGGGAACGCTGAACATTTGGCCTCATTTAACAGTAAGAAGCAGCAGAAATATGCCAGCATTTACAACTGAGAAAAAGAGGCTAAAGGGCCAGAGAGTACATCAATCGGCAGAACAAAATGGGTTAAAATTGTATCAGTAATTAGCAATCAACAATCAGTAGGTGAACACCTGTAGGTGCAATCACTGCTGCTGCTGACTTGGTAAAAATAAAAAAACTTCACTAAACATCCAGCTGCTGCTTCTATTTCGTTCTTAAGATTTTTTAATGTTTTTTCTATTCCAGGTAGTACTTCTACCTGATTTGTGTTTTACGAAACACAGCATGTCTGAATCCTAATGTACTTTGATTAATAATTATGAATTGAAAATACAGCAAATTTGGATTTGTTACTGATGTGATTTCTGAATATATTTAAACCCCTTGTTTGTGCCATGCAGGCTGATGCTCAGTTAACACCCATAAACTGGCCCACTCAAGTGTCAAGCCAAAATTAACATATATTAGGACTTAGTCATGAACACCAACAGGGCATTTTAAATTTAGAAAAAAAAAAGATCATTTTGGTCAGTCCACCAATTTGGATGTTATTTATTGTTTCAGACTGAAATATCTCAACAACTATTGGATGGACCCCACCACAATATTTTCCCTACAGTATATGGTCAAAGTTTTCACTTATCCAGTGAAATACCTCAACATGTAGTGGGGGTGGATGGACACAGCATTCATGGTTCCTAGAGGATGACATAGCTGGTTGATATTTGTGTTTTTTTGGTGAACTTTCTTGACAACTATCGAGCAGATTGCCTTATTTAGACATTCATGTCCCACACAGGATCAACTGTCATCATTTTGGTGATCTTTTAACATTTAATCTTGCGCCAACATCAGATCAGTTAAAAACTTGTCCAATACTTAAATTGATGACATTCCCATCAGCTTCAGTTGTACTTTATGTTTAGTGCTATTTGTTGTGAATTTCTTAAACATCAGCATTGCAGTATTATTATTATTAGTATGAACAACATTTATTAGCATTTAGTCCAACTTCACAGAGCTGCTACTGTGGCTCTTAATTTAAATCAAATATTAGAAAAAAAACCTGCCTTTTCCAATTTTTTTGTAATTCATCTTTGAATAGTATCATTTTTGTCTTAATTATGAAGGATGTCTAGAATGTAGTGGTGCTTCTTAATCTTAATATCATGACACACGATCATATATCACACAGTACCCTTTGCCATGGTGGCCTAGCTATGTGCTGTGTAATCTCAGTCAAAACAAAACTGACATGCAGCCCAGTGGACGCAGCAGATGATTTTATTTGTTTGTTTTGTTCAAGACGTCATATCCCTCAGTATAAAATCAGCATTGTACAAGTCAAACTGCCGTGCAGTAGGATCAAAATGACGATTTTGTACCAGAGATTTCTTTCTTTCTTCCTAGAAAATGTGATTGCTGTATTCTCATTCTTTGGCCTGTGTCATTATCGTCAGTTGCCTTTAGTCACCCAGCGAGAAAACAGCTCCAGTCTGAAGACATAATAGCTCACAGGAATTACATGCTTCCTTTTCTCCCCGATAAATCTCTTTATGAAAATACTCGGTGCTCGGTCCACAGCCCTAAAACAATAATAACACTCTAGTCATACAAACCTTACTGGGGAAGAAAATGATGCACATTTAGGTTTTTTTCACTTCACTATTAAGGGTCATAACAGCACTGAAGTGAAAATAATCAACTTGTCATGTGTGTTTACTTTTGCACTTTCCATTCAGTCCAGGACAGGGAGATCAATAAAGGGATAATAGACCCTAACACACAGGCAACACAGTTCTGAGGTAATGCTCAGTGGATGAAATGCAGACGCACACTGAATGCATGTTTTGTTATGCACATATTGAATTTGATATTGTTTTCTCTTTAAAATTGCATTTCCTCAATCAATGTACGTTTGAGGTTCACAAATCATTTAATCTAAAGACAAGACATCAATGGCCATTAGGAACAAGCTGCTAAAAGAAAATGAAGGTATAAGAAAAAAACATAACGGCATCATTTGCTCTGGTGGTGATAAACATTCTCTGTATGAGCCATGCCTTCCTCCTTATCATCATACCTCATGATAGCATTTCCCACCAGTTGTCTAAAATTGGACACCCTGGTGAGTCTTAGCCAGCCTACAGCGGCCCTCCCCTCCTCCCTCCCCCTCCGCCGGGTAACCCACCGGACAAATATAAACCTTTGTGTGAATCTATAATCAAAAGACAGTGATTATTCTCATTTAAAGGTAGGGGGAAGCACAGCTCTCTAGATGGTGGTTGCCATGGATTTCTCTCAAAAGCTTTTGGTATAATGGCACACCCACTTCTGATGTCAGCGCTCGCGGAGGGGGGAAGGAAGGAGTTGAGGGGGAGAGGGAGAGACGAGGGCAAAGGGAAAGGAAGGAGGGAATAAGGGAAGGAGGGAGAGATGGTGGGGAGGGGAGGAGAGGCAGCCTGTTGCTCATGATCATCGAGCAACCTCCTCTTACTCCACAAGCCCGGTGCCTGTGCATGGATGGAGCAGAGTTAAAGCGAGGCAGCAGCAGAAGCTGAAAACACATTTCATATTTCTCCTTCATGTGCATTCTTCTCAGCACCCTCTCAGCAAATGAAGAACTGCTGAGGAACTGATTCACGAGCACAGTGAGTATTTTTCCTTCTTATATTACACAAATTCATGTATTCAAACTTGAGGTTTGGTGCACGGTAAGACACTTTCTTAGTTGTAAGTCACACTTTGAGAGTTTGTCACATGCGGCACAGTATTTGTTTTCACAGTAAGAAGTTGGAAATGACAGGGCTGAGGGACATTTGTGCAGCTGATTTCCCTGGGTGGCTATATCGGAGCGTTGTTTGGATCATGCATTTACTCAGAGAGTGTTATTGTAGATTTCAGACTATGGGTTTGTACACATAAAATAATCAGATCTGAGCAAATATGCAGTGCGCTCAGTCCTTTTCCGTTTTTATTGTTTAATGCCTTAATACAGTCCACTTTTGATTCAAAGTGGTATAACTTTATTTTGGACCTTTCTCATTATGTCTTCAAAAAAAGATGCATAGTAGATACACTGCGCTTACACCATGATAACAAGGCTATAGCTACATTACATGCTATGATCTTTCAATATTTACTGATATCTCATCAGAGACTAGGTTCAGGACATTTTTTCTCTGTCTTGCTCTACTGGCAGGGACATATACAGCACAAACAGATGGGGGACATATTTAAAGGAAAAACATGAATGAATGAGTGGAGAAACATGACAAATGCAGATGCTTTCATACAGGACATGCGAGGTCATTCAAGGGTTTAATGAGAATTAAAAGGATGTGAATCAGTTGAACAACTATGGGCGAATGGAGAGGGTTCAGAGAGGTTTGTGTTGGTTTTTCCTTTTAATTATCACCTATCTGTATGTTTGCAGAGGCATTTGAAATTGCAGCCACTTTTTTAAAATGAAAATATATGTGAGAAGAGAAACTTTTGAATTTGAGAGCCACTTCAAGTCCTTAAACAGTGAATCATGGCTTGTGTTACGTTTCACAGTGAATCCATAAGAGATCATTTTCAGTACAGCTCATGGACTTGCTTTGAAGATGATGTTAGATTATGACCCATAATGTGATTATGAGTCCACAACAGCTGCAAATGCCTCTCTCAGACTTTGGATCAGTGATATATCATACGTAATAGATCATCCTCTCTCCCTCCTCCAGGTAATTGGGACTATAATGAGATGAACTAATGACTTTTTCTCATTCTAACAGCTAATAGTGGCTGTCTGATTCTCCCCTCACAAAGAAGGGTCCGCAAACTAATTATAATCTGCTATTCCCAGGTGTCTTTCTGTGTAAGGTATCTGAGATACATATCCTAAAGTGTCATCAGAGCAGGTCGAAAAGGTCACGGTTCCACCTGCAATACTATTTCCCAGAGCACCAGTGGGTACACAAAGAGATCTTCAGTCAGGGCTCAGACTCAACATAAACTGAGTGATGGATGTGCTTTGAAAGTGTAAGTGGGATAAAGGATATTTTCAAAAATGTTCAAATACATGTTATTCCAATTGCCACTTGCACCTTGTTCATATGACATGACCTGTGACAGGAAAGCTGTTATTTTCTGCACTCAGCACCAAACATTTTGAGTATTGCCCATCAAACGATACAAATTGTTTCCTATTTCTTCATGTAAGCTCACTTCACATCCATCAACCCAGCCAAAGAAAGCCCCGTGTGGCAGTTTGTCTGGTCCATTTATTCCATCTCATCAACTAAAGTACTTTTTCACTCACAGTGTAATAGTGTTAAGAGTGGATTTTTTTTTCCTTCGCCTATCTTTGATCATTCCTTGCTTGTACCTTCTGTCACCTCATCCCCCAGGGACTTGCACTGTGTCCTGGTGCAGAAATCCTTTGAAACACTCTGTCTCAAGTGACAGACAGTCAGGTCTTCACCGGTATGAGGTTGTGCCTGCCTGCACACATGCCTGGCCTCAGCGACTCTTTTATCATGCGCCTGTGAAAAAGAAATTGTTTACATAGCCCAGGGCGATTAGATGATCAGATGATTGCAGCTCAGCAGGAAAAGAGCTTCAGAAGAAAAGTGAGTATCGGTTAATGCACACAGACAATGCAGAGAACTTAATGTTGTGCAATCTTTATATAATCAAGTTATCTGAACACTCACAAATGGTAAGGGTGTACAATCATCCACTCAGAGAATGGGGATGTAAAATAATTAAAGAAAAACACATATTGTACGCAGTGACTTTGAGTGCACAGGTGTAAAGTTGAGGTGATGGAGAGAGGTTTTGTTTGCTGAGGTGAGGAGTGCTGAGGCATAATGTGAAGCATTGATGCACATATGTGGGGATCTAGTGGCTCGGCTCAGCCCCTGTCAGGGGGATTGAGTGCTTTAAGAGGACAGACAGAGACAGACAGACAGCGGAAAGGCTGGGAAATAAACTGTAGACAGAAAATGACAGAGGTGTGATGCTTCTCATTTGCTCTTTGTTAACGGGGACATTTTACTCAAAGAGGGAGATGAACATAAAATACTTGGATGGCATTTCAAAAGGTTGCTGTCTTTTTAACATTTAAAATATGATCAGTTATTACATAGATGCATGAGTCCTGCTGAATTCATGTGCAGGTTCGAATGGTAAACAGAACACAAAATAAACAATTAGTCCTAACATACCCCCATATTGAAGTGTATTATCCCTGCACTTCTCTGTACCTCAGAAACAGAGAGCAGCACATTGTGGCAGACCACAGACAGAGTTAGGGAGACAGTTATTGTCCTGGAGCTATAGCTTCTTCCAGGCTTCTCAGTATGCATTAATACCGCCCACTTACAACAAAACAGAAACATTTTTGTTTACAACTATTCCTGCTGGAATTACTGTAAGGGAAGGTCTTCTGGGGCTAGAACTGCTTCTGGCATGCCTGACTGTTTCAGTGTTTAACCAGATTTCAGAGACAGGGAGAGAGGGGGAAGAGAGAGAGAGAGAAAGTTGGGTCTTGGCAGCTCTTCTGGTTTCAAGTCCATTTCTGGAAATACCACCCTCTTATAGTCCATTAGAGAGCAGTGAGCTGTTAAGGAATAAGAAGAGAATTGGTTGTTGGGAAGAACAAAGAGACATCATCTGTTCTGAATGGCCATTTAGCCTGAGAGAATAAGTACAGGATAGACTCCATTTTCTTGTGACATCTACCATTCTGAAGCACTGTGATAAAGAACATTATTTTACAATGATACATTATTGCATTGCCTATAAGAACAAATGTGGTTGTTTGGCTACGTGCAGCAAAATAAGACAGCACTCTGCACTCTGATCAGCTGTCACCGGAAGGTTAACAGCCGTTAAATATGTTTCCCTTTAATTGTAAGTGTCTGAGGTTCAGATTTTCATCAGAAACACTGATCACTCATTTAATTACCATGTGTTCGTTTTTCACAGACTGAGTCAAGTTGAATTGCAAATCCTCCATTCAGAGACAGATTGGAAAAAATCTGTCCAATTCTGATTCTTTGTAAATTACACACCACTTCCACCAATATGCAGATATGCAGCCATAAATAGCAATTATTAGTAAATGAGCTATTCATGTCTCTTTGTAGGACACACACTCTGCATGTGTTCATTTTAAATAATAGATGTTATCGACCAGAACCATCCATATTGAACAGGAATGTTGCATAGAAAAAAAATATTACATCATTCCTTCATCAGCTTCATCATTTTTGCTAAATTTAATCTGCTTTGACCTTGAAGTGCTCGTTATTATTACCATGCTCATTAAAATCATCTCAATCAATATTGCTGGTAGTGAAGCTCTCCAAAGACTCATGAGGAGGGCACTGTGGGAAACGCATGCACAATGCAGTCAGGCAACAGAGACTCACAACCCAGTGACTCACCAGGCAATCTGGAGAACATGCCCTGTGGCTTAGCTGTGATAACGCTGGCACAGAGAGAGGCCAGACCTCAGCCGATCTGGAGGGGAGAACAGCCTTCGCTGTCTTTGCAGTGTTTCATCTCTCCTTCCGAGATAGACTTCGTCCCCCAGAGGAGGCATCTGAGGCGCAACGGAGCGGAGAGGAGAAAAAACAAGAGTTTAAAAAATGCTCCTGTGACTGTGGAGAGGCAAAAGCACAATCGGTTTAAAGGCAAAGTGAGAAATCAAACAGCCTCAAGGGGTTAAGTGTGATTTAATCTAGTAGGAGAGTGGCGTAGGCCTGTGCACATCCACACTGGTGATGCACTGTAGGCGTATCGATAACCTCCGCCGCATGGAGGGAGAATGTGAGAATTTACGGATGCGTAGCAGCAGAAGGAGGGATTTTACTCTGTTTTGAGGAAAGATTTTCATTCTTGTGTTTTGGTTTTGTTAGACGGAACTAGTGTTGATTTAATAGACAATAACTGTACTAAAAATATGGAAAATGTGAAGATGTAAAGCTCCATCACAGGCATATTCTACAGTACTAAATTATTCTCTGTGGGATAAAAAAAATTCCTTCTGACCATGTGAACTATCTCATAATGTTCCTAAACGAAACACCATCAAATAGTAGTGTAGGTTAATACATGCAGGCAGAGTGTTTGAGAGAAGAGCTTGGGGTGGGTTTGCTCTAATTCCATGGGTGGAAGATGGTGCTGACTGTAATCAGCGGCTCACTGAGGCTGACAGTGCAGGTGCCTAATAACCATTCAGTGACACATTCTTATCCCCGTTTTAGAAGCCGAGGCCTCCTTCCTGACCCAGAATTGGTGGTGCAGCAAATCCAGGCACTGACATTTTAATTCCTGACTGGCTAACCTGCCTCCCCCTAAATTACTGTAATTGATTAAATTAGTTTGGACACAGGCCACAAGGTCCTCACTGCACTGGTGATATCCAGTAAACATTTTCTCTTTCCTGCTCTCTCCTGTCTTTAGATATTGCTCCTTCTCTCTCTCTCTCTCTCTCTCTCTCTCTCTCTCTCTCTCTCTCTCTCTCTCTCTGTCTCTTTGATCTATCTGTCTAGTTTTGCTTGAAAAATACCTTGAGAACAAACTGGAAATACAGCATGTTTGCTCTCAGTAAAATCTGTCGTCCAGTGTGATTGCGAGTCAGTTCATACACCTCAGCCAACACCTAACTGAAATTAGTGCGTTTATCAAACAGATAAAAGAGATGTTAAAAAAACACAGATATTTTAGTGTTTAAATGTATCTTCTTCAGTAGCTGCGCAAGTAAGTCAGTTATATCAGTGAATTATCTAACAGCCAGTGTAACATCAGGCCATTATTTGTAATTCCCAGGCTGCTGTGGGTAACAGATGTTCATGCACACTGTTGGGAGTGAAACTGTTATCCCTCGATGCCTGATGTATCTAGATCAGTGATCGTGTTTAATGATGCATACATGACATATTCATACTGCTAAGATTATGGCACAGACATGTTGTTTTTGTAACGCAGTTTGTGGATAAAGGTTGTGAAGCTTGATTTCATTTTCTGTTGGTGCTCTCATGGGGGTGGCATACTGGATAGATGATAGTGATCTGTTATCTCAATCACAAGAAACATGTTTTCTGTTGCAGCACAGTACAACACTTTCTATAACACTTTGACTCCAAATTGGGAAATATTTACAACTCTTGTTGTGTTATCTCTTTTGTCAGCCTGTGGCCATATTTGTCAGGTTTACAAGAGTAAAGTAATAGTTTGATATTTAGTACTACTAGACACTAAAAGTTTTAGTCAATGTAGTTAACCATCATAACAAACTGTCAGCAGCCATTTACAGCACACAAACTAACTTAAAGGTTCAGTGTGTAACATGTAGGAGTTTTTCAAAGTTTTCACAATGGTTTAAGTACTCATATCAATGTGTGGCGTGTTGGAGTTTCCCTGCTGTATCTTTACAATATCAGAAATTGTCTTTGTGTTGGAATATTTCAAGCAGCTTTCATGTTTTCATTACATTTCTTCAGTGAGTGGGTTGCTCTGCAGGCAGAAAGTGTTTGCATAGGGCTGTACCTCCTCGTAATGATGAGTGGCCATTAGAATTAAAATGCAAATGATCTAAGTGCCTGCTGCTACAATAATGCTGCATTGTGGTATTACTCATTCTTGGGTAAAACAGTAACCACTGTAGATGTTTTTATTGCTAAAGTATAGTGGCATAAATGTTAAAGACACAGTGTCCATGTTACTCCACAGAACCTATGAGTTTAAGAAGGCGTTTATTGAACTATTAATGCATCCTCTTCAACACATTTTTTGTTTTAATCAACTGACTTTGTAAAATACAGTATGAAAATTCAAATTAGTTCCACTGAATTGTTACAAACAAATGTTTTTTTGAACAATAAGACCCTTTACAGAGGAGGCCACGCTTTCTGCTGCCCAGCCACATGGCAGGCCTGGGCAGCAACCTCTCCTTAGAAAGTGATACGCTCCTCCCTATAGGGTCTGACACGACTGAGACTGTTGGCATAGACACAGACATATAAACTGGTAGTATAACAGAAAGAAAAAGAGTACAAAGTGTGTAAGACTAATCTGTTCATCCTCTGTTTTCCTTCTGAAGGTCACAGTGTGATGGTGGCAGTTTGAGCACAGGGATGTAAGCAGACCAGTAAAGATGACCCTGTTGGCGGGTGATGGCTCCGACTATGACTACAGTGCCCTGAGCTGTGCCTCTGATACCTCCCTCAACGCACCTCCCCTGCAAGAGGAGGAGGCTCAAAAGGGGGCCTTCTACAAGAGGGCGCAGCGTGCCCCTGAGCTCAGCACCATCCACGATGACACACTGCTATCCAGCGCCCGTAAACTCCACGCCATCATCAATGTGGGTGGCCTGCGTTACCAGCTGCCTTGGACCACCTTAGAGGACTTCCCCCTCTCTCGTCTGGGCCAGCTGCACCTCTGCAGCAGCTTTGACGAGATCATGAGTATCTGTGATGACTATGATGTTACACACAATGAGTTCTTCTTTGACCGCAGCCCCTGTGCCTTCCGTACCATCCTGACCTTCCTGCGGGCGGGTAAACTGCGATCCCTCAGGGAGATGTGCGCCCTCTCATTCAGGGAAGAGCTGCTCTACTGGGGCGTCCCCGAGGAGAGCCTGGAGTGGTGCTGTCGCCGGCGTCTGCTGCAGCGCGTGGAGGAGTTTGAAGCGATGGAGAGAGCAGAGGAGGAGGAGGAACTCCTGGAGGATTCAGACAGTGGCCACAAGGAGAACGCAGCAGAGTCCAGAGTCAATCGGTGCATGGGCAAGCTAAGAGACATGGTGGAGAGGCCTCACTCAGGCCTCCCAGGGAAGATCTTCGCCTGTTTGTCAGTGTTGTTTGTCACCATCACTGCCATCAACCTATCCATCAGCACCATGCCTGCCATGAGGGAAGAGGAGGAGGCGGTGAGTAGGCTATTGACATTAAGCATATCTCATAGAGGGGAGAAAAGTTACTGCAAACAAAAACATGTTGCCAAGAGGGAAAGAAGTGTTTTCATTTCAGTGAGGAAAAATAAAAATAAAGACTTAACCCAACACAACATTGTCTGTTGGGAAATTAACTTCTATGTTTTCTGCAGTTAGGAAAATCAAGCAAACACCAAACTACTGACAATGAACATTTGGAACCAACACTATGATTTGACCTGAATTCAAAAGCCAAACTGAGGTAAACTGACGCTGCCTTATTTTGAAAAGCAGTCATTAAAATTTTTAATGATGGCTTGTGTCATCCGTCAGCGTCCTTTGCAGCGAGAAAAAGCGAGACTGCTGAGAGAGCCAGCTGTTGTGCCAGATAAGAAAAAAAAATATTTGAAGACGTCTCGGTCTGCTTTCATGAAATGCTTTTATTATTATGTCTGACTTCAATCACAACCACAATTAGCACACTGGCCTCTTCTATCAAATCAAAGGAAAATTGAATATTTGAGCCACACACATCATTTTTCAGTGCAGCAAGGTTTTTCAATGTAATTTTTATGTGTATAGCACCAAATCGTAACAGACGTTATCTCAGGACACTTTTCAAATAGAGCAGGTCTATGCCGTAGTTTAATAAATTCACATTTTTATTTAAGTTAAAGGTTTTTTTTCTAATTGTTTCCTTTCTCTTTATGAAATTTCCCATTTGAATGAGTAACTGCAACCACTTTACTTTCTTTTTTAGAAACTATGTTTCAGTGGTTTTCAAATGTTCTACTTTCACTTGTATGTACTCAGGAAATGAAGTACAGATAATGTATGTGTGGTACTGAAAGTGGGTGGAAGGCGAAACCAAAATCTCAACGGTTTTCATTTGAAAGTAACTGCTAACCACATTTCATGCTGCTGACTCAAGTTTCAGAACCGGCAGGCCTACTTTAATTTTGTACTGTAACTACAAATACTGTTTGATTTACTCCTGTGGCTTCTTGGAGCTCCATGACATTAGGCGGTCAAATGTGGAATGAGTAAAAAACTTCAGTCACAAAGTTACACTGTTAAACCAATCACAATGTGTCCTCTGGGAAAATAAAAGGGGTATTTAAAACGAAATAAAAGAAATACAATGACTGCACTTAATCTGGTTAGGTTACAGTATTATATTTGACCCGACGCACTTTGTATTCACACTTGAGTATTCTCAGTATGTCTGAATTAAGCTGTTTAATTAAAAGTGCCAGTAATCGCATACTAACAGCTCCGCCAGCTCTAATTTATTGCAGGCAGATAACAAAGTGTTGCATTAAAAGTGTTTAAGTGTTCCTGTCTGTGAGTGAGAACAGGTTTACTGGAGTTTTCAGGTGCTTTTATGGGTCTACTCAAACCATCTCCTGCTCTGTGGGAGTGTGTTTCATAATATTTTTAACTGATGTGGACTGCATTCAAAGGCTCTCTGCCATGTAATATGTGCTTTGAGATGCTTTGATCCCTCTCTGCCTCACACTGAATCAGCGTCATTACTGCATCTAAGAAAAACGCCCGCCTTTCCAAAAAAAGCCCAAAAAACATCATGAAGGACGGCAGGGATTTTTCATGAGTTTGGAGGTATAGATTTTTATGGCACGCAGCACATATTAAACTAAAATAGACATTCCTAATACTAACAGTCTTTTGCTGTCAGAATATTTAAAAGATTTTGTGTGTTAGCTTGATCTATGATGGGCAAGATAGTAGAGAATTTGCTTTGTCTGTAGATGTTTAACAGATTAAATATATAGAATATGTAACAACTGAACATACCCTAACCAAGATGTTTTTTCTGCCTAAATATAACCAAACCTTTATTTGTGAAACAGTTGAATTGTTAAATCTCAGCTAATAAGTAATAAGAAATGTCACAAATAAATAAACTATCTGTAGTTGGGGTATCCAAGTAAACTGGAACCTTTTTTCCTTCCTTATTTTGCTTGAAATGTTTTATATATTGAAGTGCTCAGATATGCAGCGTCCCAGCTGAACTTCTGGATTTCACATTGAAATGGTTCCCTCTAGTGACTGCAGTTGCCACTCACACATGCTAATCATGACCATGCTCACCCATGTGTCTTCTTTTACCAGGGCACATGTTCCCAGATGTGCTACAACATCTTCATAGTGGAGACGGTGTGCGTGGCCTGGTTCTCTCTGGAGTTCACCCTGCGCTTCATCCAAGACCGCAGCAAGCTGACCTTCCTCAGACAGCCCCTGAACCTGATAGATGTGGTGGCCATCCTGCCGTACTACATCACCCTGGTGGTGGACAGCACCTCCAAAGGTGAGAAGCGGCTGGGCTCTGGCAGCAGCTACTTGGACAAAGTGGGCCTGGTGCTTCGCGTCCTCAGAGCCCTGCGTATCCTCTATGTGATGCGGCTAGCTCGCCACTCACTGGGCCTGCAGACTCTGGGCCTGACAGCGCGCCGCTGCACACGGGAGTTTGGACTGCTCCTCCTCTTCCTGTGTGTGGCCATCGCACTGTATTCCCCCTTGCTGTACTTGATTGAGAATGAAATGGCAACCACAAAGGAGTTCACCAGCATCCCCGCGACCTACTGGTGGGCTGTCATCACCATGACAACAGTTGGCTACGGGGACATGGTGCCAAGGAGCATCCCGGGCCAGGTGGTGGCTCTGAGCAGCATCCTGAGTGGGATCCTCCTCATGGCCTTCCCCGTCACCTCCATCTTTCACACCTTCTCGCGGTCCTACGTGGAGCTGAAGCAGGAGCAGCAGAGACTGCTGCAGAGGAGGACACATTTTCTGCTGCGGAGCCGCATGGCAGGCCTGGGCAGCAACCTCTCCTTAGAGAGTGATATGCTCTTCCCTATAGGGTCTGACACCAGAGACATGGACGACTGAGACTGTTGGACAGGGACGGACATGTAAACTGGGAGTATAACAGAGAGAAAAAGAGGGAGTCTACAAAAGAGACTGAAGGTGTGAAGAGAGAAAGAGATAGACAGGGGTGAGGAGGGATATACAGATGTGTGGAGAGAGAAGTCTCTATAAACAAGATAAAGAGGAAATGGGATTTTTTTTCTTCCCAGAAATTTAGCCTTGCTGTGTAGCAGTGTACTTTTGGATAAAGAGAGGATTAGTATTCGTATTGAATAAATGTTCCCACCAAAAAGTGAATTATCTCTGGATAAAATTCTTTATGGTCACAGAATATCAATTTACAGAAAAAAAAAACACAACAAACCTCAAAGTATTCGAGCATAACAATGATTATACACATACAACAGTCATAAATTGAAATATATTGTAATTCAGAATGAAATGTGTTACTATAACTACAGCACACGAGCACAGCGTCCTTATGATCCCACAACATCGTGATGTTTTTAATCCCTGATTTCTCCAAACATTTTAATGGATTTGTTGATGTCATGTGCTCCTGGGAGTTCACCAGTGTCCCTTAATGGAAGATGCTCTCTGCTTTTGTTGAATCCCAAAGGTTAAATGGAAGTTCTATCTAAGCTAAAAATGTGACCCTTAATCCACTGATTATTTTCTGAATGAGTGTGCAGACTCTGAAAATGATGTTTCGTCAGGATCCACATAATAATTATGATGTATTAATTGTCCTTCTTCTACTCCTTGAGGTTCTATATGCAATTTTTGAATACTTTTGGACATTGAAGATAGCATTATTGTGCTTGTAATTTCTGCAGTTGCTGTCCATAGCTGTTTATAATTATTATTTATCTCCTTAAAGTGGATTTAAACTGAAATCTGTCTTTCATTGTCGCTTCTCATTTGAACTTTAACTGAACTTTAAACTTTATTGTCCCGGAGGGAAATTAGTTTGCAGTGTCGGGATGAAATTGGACACAATAACAAGAGTTGAGGACATACAGTGACAGCATATATGGTGCTATACCGCATAGAAAGGAATACAGCAAACAATGAGAGTAACTACAACTTTATTTTCACTTCTGCTACAAAATTCTACTCCATTCTTTTACTTTTTAGTTTACACAGATTGTTAAGTATTAAACCAGTGTATGAAATAGTTCATTGACTGATTTTTACAGTGCATGTAGGCTTATAAGAAACTAGACAGAAACCGGGATAGTCAACATGACAAATGATAATATATAGTTACAGAAATTCAAAAACAAAACATTTCAGAAGATTCAGTTTAGAGAACATCCATCCATCCATTAGCTTTACCGCAGATTCTTGGAGGGCCGAGGGGCGGCTGGAGCCATTAATTTACAGAAAGGAACTGTCCTATTATGAAGAATACTGTGTCTCTGTCATAGCTACAATGCATTTTATATAATTCTAGCCAATACAAAAACCTCATTAAAGAGCCGGGTCTATATCACACCTTCAGATAACCCAAACAAATCTGGATTTTTTAAATGAATTTCTTTCAACAGATTATTTCTAAAATCACTGTACATTACAGGGCAGTGGTTCTAAAACTGTTTCTGGCTCAACATTTTTACCACACATTAGCAATAATAGGGCAAGCAACAAATACCAAAGGATAGAAGCTGAATTTTAATTATTAAATAACAATCAGCACAACAGCATCAACAAAATGACATAAATCACTCAACCTAACAACCCCTTCTAGTGGCTTTGTGCCTCACAGGGGGCCCCGCCCCACAGTTTGAGAACCACTTATATAGGCAATGAAAGACAAAATGAAATCCATCCTCTTAAGATCACAAAAAACATACAACATACACAAGAATTCTATATAAGACACTGATGTTATAATAACCGTAAAAACACAACGCAGTACTGCAAGGAACAAGCCCCACTAAATACTTTGTGCTATGCAGCACAGTGGTATTGCTTTGTGTGCTGAGAGTTTCATATGTTTGCAGAAGTGTGTGTTGGCCCCTCGCCTCATTTGAACAGTAGGTGGCAGCATTATGTCACTGTATACTGTATGAGCTTCGATTGGGCCACAGAATGACAGAAAAGATGTTTATTCTTTCTTACATTCAAGTTCAGGAGTAAAAAGGCCTCTCTTAGACTCATGTTTGATTTAATACAAACATTCAATATTTTTTAGTCTTTAGTCTTTATTAAATAAGGAACCATGCACAAGAACATTCATCTCAAAATGAGAAGAGATGATTTACAACAGATTTAGCCATTCGCTCATTTCCATCTGCAGGTACAACACTGCAATCACCAGACACTAAAAGCATTTATGTACATAGTCTCTATCACACAGACAATGTATCTTAATAAGGCATTCATTTTAGCTTAACTAATCTACATTATGGCTACAGTTACAGTAGATGCTCAACACTTCTGATAGAGGAAGAACGACAACTTTCAATTACAAAGTTCATAAAATGTTATTTTTCTGTTATATTTGGCATGATGTACAACAAATTAAAACTATTAAATTACTAGTGGTGGAATGTAACTAAGTATATTTACTCAATGTAAAAATATTTTACGTATTTTTCCCATTTTATGATGCTTACTTCTAGTCTATATTGTCCTTCTTACTCCACTACATTTATTTTTTACAGCTTTAGTTAGGTTACTTTGCAAATTTAGATTCTTAATACGAAATATAAATCAAATAAATACAATATTATGTATTATTACGATTATCAATTAATGCATCAATAATCATAATCCAGTGATATAATAAATATGATTCTGAAATGGATGAATTTAGATGCCAGTACATATGTACTTATTTTGAATGCAGGACTTTTACCTATAACAGAGCATTTGCACACGCTGTGGTATTTCCTACTTCTACTTGAGAGAAGCTTCTCCTTCCACCACTGTAAATAACTTTGCATTGAGGCCACGTTTGAACCTGCAGCCTCAGGTGAGGAGGGACTTCCACGGAACGCCATTCAACAAATCAGGCTTCAGTTGTGCATAAAACAATCTAACCAATCAGAGCTTGACAATGCGCTGTAGTCTCCTCCCCTGCCTGCCTCTAATATCACATCCCAGTGTTTTGGTCAGGATTGGATGTTCCTGCACAGGAGCTGTGACTGTCGGCTGGTTTCCACGCGTAAAGCCTGGCGTGTGATAGGCAAATCGGGTATTTCTGCTTCAATCCAGCTGATTTAGCCTCTAATGAAAAATGTGTTCATAGCTCCGGAGTCATTCCCCGTCATGACCTCACCGGGCCGCCCCTCCAGTTGAATGGGATCCCTCATCGTCCGTCTGTCGCTCGTTTTTGGCACCGACCGTCTCTGCTGCTGTCACCGCCGCTCCAAAGCCCCGATTTTAAGGATCTGCGCGCTTTTTGGGGGGTTTCTCTAATCAGTTCATTAATGGTTTGATGCGAAATCCGCCTGTGTGATCGGCAGAAGAGAGTCAACGCCAAATCTCCAGCAGCCTGCGCGTCAGGGTAAGTCGCCTAAACTTGTTATTTCACTGCGAGTGACTTAATGACAGACGGACAGACGAGGGTTAATTAAAAATAAATGAGTGCAGCAAATGACTGTGTTGTTTCCAGATGTAGATGGACATAAACCTCTCCAGACCCTTCTTTAAGACTCATCTTTCCTCCTGTATGACCTAAATAATCACCTGCTCTGCTCTGTATGTATGTATGTATGTATGTATGTGTGTATGTATGTATGTATGTATGTGTGTGTGTGTGTGTGTGTGTGTGTGTGTGTGAGAGAGAGAGAGAGAGAGAGAGATATTTGCAAATACTTTTGTTAATAATGATCAGTGGATGGAGGTCACACTGTAATTTTCTCACTTTGTCATTCACCAAAACCACTGTTTGGGCACTAGCCCAGTCTGAGAGTTACTGTATAGTGACTCATCATGAGAGCTTTTGTAAAATATAAGCTGCAGCCTTTGATTTAGGCTACATACATCACATCACACAGCGCTTTCTTTTCCCACTGTGCATATCCTCAATTTGAAGAGAAATGGCTCCCTGGGTGGAAGCCTTCACAAGACAAACTGAAACCTGGCAGCTGTAGTTGCTCTGCGGTGAGAGTTTTTTATGGGCTACCTGCTGTACTTGTGCTGTTTTTTATGTGTGAGTGAGAAGATCAGAGCCGGTGGACACTGTAAATATCCTTTTGCTTTTAAAACATTTCTTTTTGCTGGTTCACTGAAAATGCCACAGATTCTCCTTCCCCCGGGATCCCACACACTTTAAAGACATGGCTGTCATATGCTTAGGATTAGTCTCTCCCACTCAACGTGAGTCAAAGGCCCAAATATTGACTCTAATGTGGTGGTAACTAATAATAGAAAAGGTATCCATAGACCTCTAAGTAATTGTATAGTCTGTAATTTGTTGAGGTAAGCCATGTCCTTGAACATATAGAAACAGACCGTATCCTTATATATTGTTAGTGTCTTAACATTGTGACCATTCATTGGCTCTGTATTTACTGTACACATCTGCCCTGACTCTCCCAGCTGGACTGCTGATCCAGGATCACCGCACAGATCTGCTAACTTAGGTTGTTGTGTCCTCTATCTAGAAAATTGAACCTAGTTTAACGTCTAGACCAGATTTACTCTCAGACACTTTAGGATGAGTCAGTGCGAGACGCTACAGCATGACACATTTGCTATCACGACAGTTGAGCTATTACTCTTTTTACAGCTCTTGCGCTGTCACCCCAGACACACACACTTGAACTTGCTGTACCACCATTGCAGTGTATTGTTTTTGTGCTTTTTGACATGCTTTAAAAACCTAAACATTGTGTATAAACCCACAGTGAATTCCAGCTTGTTTCCTCTGTCTCTGTAATCCTTTCTGAAATCTGAAACATTTCGCCAGAGACATATCTCAGAGAGGCATCAGTAATTTTTTTAATAATAATAGAATTGCTATAATATTTGATTATCAGTTGTGCATTAGACTAATCCCCCAGAGATTTTGCTTGTATTTTTTAGTATTTTCCTGTAGGAATTAAGATGTTTGGCAGCAGGCAGGCAAAAACATATTATATCCCATGGATTCAATATCCTTAGATTTTGTATTGGGCCAATGACGTGCAGACTGACGCTGGGGATGAAGCGCTGTTGCGTGTAAGCACCCCAGGATATGCATGATGCCCAGTGTTGCATGCTGTTTGTTTTTATCATACATTCTGCTCAATCGAACGTTGGGTGCACGGTTAGTGATGAATGCGACCGTAAAGCCAAGACACATTGCCTGTTTCACCAGCCTATTTGCATGCATTCTGCGCCGGGCAATGCAACCAACCAGCGAGTGAGAAGTGTTTCTCAAAGTGGTACGAGATGGTCCATTGTACTTTCTAACTGCCAGATTTCAGGCTCCACAGAGGGGACCTAATGCTCCTTGGAATCCTATGAATGCCCTCCAGTGAAAGCCGTAGATGTTTGTCAGCTCCAATGAGATTGGTGGAAAGTGGCTCTTGAGGCCGAAATTCCTGCTAATTGGCAACGTGGCTGTGGACTGGCCCCTTTGTTCCCCCTTATACTGGAGTGGTCTGTCTGTCAGGGTGATACACTGGGCCTGGCATCAATGAACTGCTTGTTTCGGCAGCTATCCGGCCTTGGAGGATCGGCAGCTTTAAGACAAGTCGCTTCCACTTTCAAAATTGCCTTTGTGCAACCTATTCAGAGAGATGGAAGGGAACCATTTAGAGGTGGTCTATAGAGACTGTTTCTCAAGCTTCCCAGCCAAGTATTTTGATAGTGATGTGTATATTTGCCTCTGCATTTAACCGCACTGGAGCGAACTGAGCAGTTTCATTGAACAGTTCATCATTTGTTGTAGTGAGTGTCCCACTTTCCCTTTAGGTCAGATGAGGATTATATGGCATTGAGCACTGAGGACATATTGTATTTGTTTGTGATACTATAAAGAGGAACTAGCTTATTGGCCAGAGGAACAAATAAAAAAAAAAAAAGGATTGCTCACAAATTGCAGGACAGAGGATGACTGTAAACGAGTCAGTAGTAGTAGTAATTGTGAGCCTCTTCTTTGTTGAAACAACACACTATTCCCTTTTGGCCTTGGAGTACTTAACAAACAAAACACTTGTCTATTGCCAGCATCAACCCCTCTTCAGTTTGCCAATGAGATGTGCGATACACTCCGGAGAGAAAGAGATTGTATACACGAAAGGGGGGCATGAGATTTGTGATGGCTTCCCGCTGACAAAGGCCTTTGAATTTTTCATGTGGCAGATACTAAACTTCTGTCGCTCTGGCCCAGATTTGGTGCTAATTAGTGCCCAGCTACTTTCAAGGGCATACGGCTGAGCATGGGAATGCCAGTGCCACCTGTTCTCTCACTCTTTCTCCCTGTCTCACATCTCTACCATCCTGTCAGCCTTTATCTGTCTGTCTCTCTCTCTCTCTGTTTAGGCTTTATGTGTCAGTGGCCTAGTTTTGTGTCAGTTATTGTTGCCTTCCTTACAGTGTACACTTTAGCCAGCTGTTAACCTAAAGGTTGCATGTTTCACTCCCCTGCTAAGCCTACTTTGTAGCCCACGCTGTATTGCGTTACCGCTCAGAATCAGTGATCGCAGGAGAGAAGTAGCTGTATACACCGTTAAACCATAAAGCCACAAAGCCACAGTGCCATGGCTGCCAGTAAAAGCAGTTGAATGATAAGGATGCACAAATGAAACGCTCTGACATATCCCTCCAAGCTCTCTGTCAGAGGGGCCTGTGCTTGCTGGCCATTTGAATGAAGTATCAGATAGTGGTTTGATACAGACTAACAGAGGAGGGCTTGTCTCCTCCCAGGATCCCTGGCCACTTCCTGTCCCTCTGCTCTGGGAATGGGCCAGGGTGACACAGGCCACGCATCTCCACTCAATCCACCCACTGTTGCCTCTGTGGAAAAGCGATCACTCTCACACCCTCATTCCCATCGCTCCGCGCACATTTCTTGTGACAGGAAAAGCGTCTTTGGCATTTAGAAAGATGCCTCTATGTGTGGCTTTGTGTAGGCGCAGCTGTGCGAGTCTGGTCAGGATGATGAGATGCTGGGAAGAGCACATGCTGCACTCCCCCCTCTCAAAACATGAGGCTCTCCATCCTCTGAGAATCGCTGCAGTATATGTTGACATGGGAGTTTTTATGCAGATCGTGTATGTGCAGGGATGATGGACCCCGTCAGACTGGAGCTCTGCCTTAAGCTCAGATCTTATAATCTGACCGAAAACCAGATAACAGGATACGATACTGATTTCACAGCCTCACACTGAGACACATGATACACTGAAAAGCAGAATCAGAATGAACTGAAATTTGCCTGAATTAAATCATTACTGTATTTACCAATGGTCGTAATTTGATTAGAGCTGAAATGATTATCTGTTTAATTGATTTGTTCATTGATCTAAAATTAATCAGTAGCTAATTCGATCATTGTCTGGGGGGTTTTCAAGCAAAAGTGCCTAGCATTACCTAGTTACAGTTCTTCAACTGTGCTTCTTATGTGACATGAATATCTGAATATCTTTGGGTTTTTCGGACTGTTGATCGAACACAAAAAGCAATTTCACACAGGTGTGGTGTTTAAGAACTTTTTAAGCCAAACAAATCAGGAGAATAACTGATAGAATAATCCATAATGAAAATAATAATTAGCCTTAAATGCCTGATGCATGTACGTAGTTGTGTTCATGGTCCTGCATTAATATTAAAGGGGCAATAAGTAATGTTTTTACAGTCTCATATCACAGAATGGCCATAATATATCTGTGGGAGGTTGCTAAACAATACCAGTGACTCAGTGATTACTTTGCCAAGTGCTGTGATTTCTCACTTTCAAATTGGGCTTTACAGTTCAGTGCGTGTTTTGGAGCAAACATTCTGCACTCATTGGTGTTTTAAAATATGTTCACTTTCCACCTCCTGTCATTTGGAGCTGTTAATCCATTGACATTGGTGCAACAAGCAAACAGCAACATTTTATTTCTTTATGCATGAATTCCAATGAGAAGCTGTGTTATTATTACAGAATGTTCCATCATAATATATCACCTATTTGCTGTACATTTTGTAGTAGAACTATGTGCTTTTAAATGCAACTTTATTGCTATTTACTTAGCGAACCTGTACCAGTGACCTGTCAGTGTTGTAGTTGTTTGTCACTGGCAGATGTTGTAGGAAGTACAGGATGTGTTTCCCTTCGGCTCTGACCCCTGACTGACCTGTCGTGTGTCTGGATGAGAAACAGGACATCTTCCTCCTTCTCACCAGGGGCAGTTAGGTGAACCCATCCATCTGTATCCTTATAGAAAGCTCCAACCGCACCTCTCTGCTGATTGCCTCAGAGTCAGCGTCTCGTTCGCTGCTTCACCGCCCCGCTGAGTTACATTTGAATATTGAAATCAGGGCTTTCTGAACAAAGGGGTGGTTTAAAAGACATGGAGGAAATCACTCCCG